GGTCTACACTGAAAAATTAGACAGACCTAGCTTATATCACTCCAAGCAGTGAAAAATGCTTCACGCTGTGCGACCCAGTTATTGTATATAGACACTGTAGATGCAGCTTGGTCGATGGATTAACTACATCAATGGAAAAACCCTTTCCGTTGATGTAGGAAGCATCTACATTATGACAGCACAGCTGCAGCACTAGACACAGAATTTTCCTGGGTCTGCCCTGTGAGCTGCAGCACTGCCCAGAATTTCCATAGTTATATGCATGCTGTGACCCTTCCCCCAATACACCTCTCCTGACCAGAGCTCCATCCCACTCCTATTTCAGGATTTGCAAAGTGCTCCTCAGAGGATAGCCTTACAGCTATCTTCTGCAGTGCTTCCCTGGCCAGATATAGAGATTTCAGAGCCCTGTCCCTTTTACCTGGCTTAATGAGGATGGGATAGTATGAGAATCTCACCCTAAGAAATTAAGCTAAGGTATGTGGGTTTGGTTTTTTTGTGACATTTGAACTATTTTAGGTTCAGAATTAATCCTTAGCACCTGGCATCTTCAAAGCAGTTTACAAACCCATTAATCTCAAAACCCCTGTCAATTCCTATTTTTCACATAGAAAAGCTAGAACAGAGAGGTTATTGTATCTGATTTTCAGAGTGGCTAAGCACCCACAGCTCCAATGTAAGTAAATGGGAAATGCAGGAGCTCAGCACCTTTGAAATCAGTCTCTAGGGATATGTCTAAATTAAAATGATGCTGCGCCACAGCAGCACTTCGGTGTAGATATTACCAATAGAGTACAGGACGGAGGTAAACCACCTCCCCAGAGGGGGCAGTTAGGTTCCATTGTGCTAGCACTGTCTACACTGGGGATAGGCTGGACTAGTATGTCTCTCAGGGTATGGATTTTTCACACCCCTAAGGGATGTAGCTCTACTAATATAAATTCTTAGTGCAGACCAGGCCTACATGACTTGCCCCAGACCTTATAACAAGTAAGTGACATAGAAATTTAGAACTTAGAAGTTTCTGTCTTCCAGCCCATACTAAATCTACTGACACACATTATGGTTCCAGAGAGAGCCCCTTCAATATACTTGTTTGAAGACACCTTTGGACAACATACTGTAAAGAATTTAAATGCTTAAAACAATTATATAGTCTGTATTTGATTACAAATACAAGATTAGACATTCTTTAGTCTTAAGAATCCACAAGAAAAACACAAAGTAGAAGGATTTGAAAAGCGTAATTAAAAATGAAACCCCTCTGCAACCACTGAGAACTACAGCTTGCTAAAACGCAGAGTCCAATTTCTGAAATGACACAGAGCTTAAGCTGAAATCTCATTTGTTCCAAACACTGGTATATAATTAATGTCAGTTTTAAAAATGGAAACTGGCTTACAAATGGAGGCTTAAATGCTCCAAAATAGTTGCTTAAAAATGCAAGAAAACAAACCAAAAACGCCCAACCCTCCACCACTCAGGTAAGATGACGACACATTGTTGAACGGGATCCTCATGTTCTAAACTTAATTGTTTTTGTTTTCAACTATGTAAATCCTACCATGCACACTGTTCTGTGTCTGCATGACCTTTAGATCCATGCATCTCTAATACAGACTCTGGACATGTATACTGCTTTTGACCATTTACTCATGCCATGTGCTTGCATAATTGCAAAACATAATTTAAGATATTAAATTTATGCATTAACGTCAGCTAAGTGAGAAAGTCATGGAAATGGTGGGTCTGAATCCAGGTTCTACAAAGCATCTGAAAGTTCCATATAAAGAGAAAATCCTGCAGTAACTCAAAAAATCTCACAAACTATAACATGGGAATCTAACACTTCATGAATTCTGAGACAGCAACAAATGTCTCTCATCTGAATAAGTGAAAGTATTGGAGTACTAACATTTTGAAAACTTAACAGTCTTAATATGCATTACGAGCATTTTCTCTCACTATTCCTAAGTTCAGCTGTAAGCAGAGCAGCAATATAACTTGATTTTGAATTGTAGAGACAAAATATAGTACATTCATATTTATCAACACAGTCTACATTTTCTTGGTAACACATATGTAAAACAGCTACAAATCAAAATGTTCCTCTCCATTGTACCTTTCTCTTTCATGTAGTTTTAAATACTTCATACTCATGTGTCATTATGGAATATAGTGGCTCTGTAAATAACTAAAGTTAGAAACACCTAGTCACCAAAACAAAATCTGCATTGCATTTCAAAAGCAGGAAATAACATATGCTGGCTGTGTCTCAGCGGTAGCCAATACATCCTGACCATTAGGTTATTGAGAAAACTAAGGAAAATGCTAAATAGTTGAGCACAACACTCTGTAGTTGCCTTCCTGATATCACCAACATATCAAATGGTTAGACAGAGCAGTAAGATGTTCTCCACAGTATAGGTAACCAATGTTAAATCTGATACTGTAATTTAGGTTCTTTGGTTGTCATGATTATTCTGAGTTTATTAACATTTGCTCCTCAGCATGAGTAATATTTTGCATTGGGTGTCAGGAATTGTATTACTACTATGTTTGGTACATATTGTCTGGTTCAGCCAAAGAAATAAGTATATAACATATAGGTTTCATGTTAAAACCTGAAATATAGAATTTGATGCACAACAAGCATATTATGTAAGAGCACCAAAAGATCACCTCTTAGAAATCTAACCTTTACATAATACTAGAATTCAAAATGAGAGAAAACATTCATGTACTTGTCATATTTGACTATGTGCCTATTATTGTTCTTTGCATTCCAGTAGTGCCTAGAGTCCCCAGCTAAGACTGGGAACTCATTGTGCTAGGCAGTCTGTAAACACATAGCAAGAGACAGTCCCTGTGTCAATTAATATAAAATGCATGAGGCAATACTGTCACTAGGTGTTAAGTGTGATGATGGAGGTGACAGGGCTAGAAGAGGGGAGAAAGAAAAAAACTGCTTTCATTCCCCCCCCCCAACCCCCGGAGACAGCAAAACAGCGGTGAAGGTGTTTGTGATCAGTTCTTCCTTCCCAGACATACCCACTGCATTTGTCCCTTAAAGACACATCAGTCTCTCATGTAGGTTCACCTGTTGCCAGCCCCAGCCATTTGCACTCTAAATACGTGCACACTTGGGGTATGTTTATACTGGAATTAGACAACTGCAGCTGGCCTGTGCCAGCTGACTCAGGCTAAGGGGCTGTTTAATTGTGGTGTAGACGTTTGGGTTCGGGCTGCAGCCTGAGCTCTGGGACCCTCCCACCTCACAGAGTCCTAGAACCCGGGTGCCAGACTGATTGAACATCTACACGGCAATTTAACAGCCCCTTAGCCCGAGCCCTGCGAGTCAGCTAGATCCCCTCACTGCTCTGCCCTTGGTCACACAACCACTCCCTCCATATTGCCGTAGGCCCTGAACCTCTGGGCCTGCCTATTGCATGCACACTCCTCTCTCTGCCACCAGATAACATTTTACACCTTGACACAGTTCTCCCCAGTGAAGGGCAGAAACAGAGTAGTCTGGTTCTTGCTTCCCTCTGTTGCAAGAGATTATCCTTCTTTATTTAAAAATCTGGGCTTTTTGTTTTGAGTTGAGCTCAAATAACCTGAAGTAACATTTGATGTGAATAAGGATAAGGTAAGAAAAGAAAGAAAAAATACATGGAGTTTTTTATAGCTTCACTTCTTTTTTGAGTAGGTGTAGGCTACACCAATATAGAAAGAAGTATTCAATGTCAAGCTATAAATAGCTCCTGCTGAGAGCATAATAGCTCTGCCTCCACAGAGCACAGACAATAAACATCACTATTAGAGTTATACAGTTCAGGAGCAAGAACATTTAAACAAAAAGGGTTCTCATTCCTACCACAAATCCAATAAAGGAAATATTTACACCATACATAAAGTATGTTTACAGTGTAGAGCCACATTTTGAATAAAAAGACCTGCCTATTGAAGTTGTAAATATCTGATGTTTTATTCACTTTAGAATCCTAGTTCCAGGAAAATAATGTCATTACTTTTGAAATATACAGCTATTCATTAAGACATTTTATTTGATAAAGAATTACCATATTTGTGACATGGACAATTCCTACAGCTCCACATTACATATTCACCATCGTTATAAAGCGCACAATCAAAATTAATTTTACGGAAAGGCATAATTAATTTGTTTACAATTATTTAAGGGAATGGGTGGAAGAAAAAGGAAACATTTACTGATGCAAATCTCAGCTTTTTTGTTCATTAGTCAAAATATAGCTAACTACTGTATACCACCTTATTTGTGAATCTAATGATTAAAGGTGTTAGATGGAATTGTATTTGAACAAGAGAGACTATGAAGTTCAGACTGTTTTATTTCACGCATGTGATATGCACAAATAGACAAGAGACACCATGTCTAAGCCCAATACAAAATAAAGTAATAGAAGATGCAGACATTTACATAAAATCAAATCCTCACAACTTTCTTTTAGGTCATGTATAACTGACAGGCTGCAAAATGCCTGACCCAGCCACAAAGGAAGTATTTGCCTAGATTGATAGCGCTTCTGAAATTAGATGGTCCAACCTAAAGCATAACCACTCCCATTAACTCTACTACAAACTGTTTTCAAGTTTCAATTAGTATTCTTCCTGTGAACTGCGTGCTTTTGAAGTGAAATGTTCAGGCCAAATACATGAACATTTAAAAAAATGATCCATGTTTCAAGCAATTTTGTTTTCAAAGTCAGAAACCGTCTGGAATTTGCACTGCTGTTGCTTTCAAAAGTAAAAGGTTTATTTTGGAAGTCACATATATTTTTAAACAATGAGGCATGTGGCTCCTGAAATACAGTAAAGGATTTTAGATTAATTGTCTAGTTTGGGATCCAGTGATAAACAGGCAAACTGCATATACTCATATATGAATGCTCCTGGGCTGTACTGTGACTGCACTGTATTTACAAAGAAAAATAAATGCTGTTTGCCAGAAAGCTTACCTTTCTCTCTTTTAGTAGCTGTCTGTAGCCACTTTCACCCAGGGACAGTAGTGTAATGAGGACATCTAAGGAAGGAGATGCTGAAGCTCTTCCTGAAGCAATGATATACAGATTATTTTAATTCTCTCTCATTTTATGTGTGTATATATATATATATACACACACACACATAAAATTATATATATCACACATTCATCTTTGTGAAATAACTGCAGAGAACTTGAATATCTGCTTCATATAGAAGCAGATATTCAAGTTCTCTGCAGTTATTTCACAAAGATGAATCAATCTGTCAATTATTTACCTGGGTACATCTTGCTGATATCCTGGATGAAGGAATCATTGAAGCCAGCAATGACAGCACCACCTACTGGAACCATAAAATTTTTGTCCAAACTCTGGATGAAAGCATCTATTCTACCTACTCGAGCACCCTAAAAACAAAAAAACAAAACAAAAACAACACAACCACCCCACATACATGTACACATTAGGAACAAGTGTTTGACAGCATCCAATTGTATTATGTGTAAAAGCAATGGACAGCAAGTTACATTAATAAAACTCTCATAGAAAATACATTAGAACTAAAACAAAATTAAAATGGTTAAGTTCCTTTTCTCAGTAGTGTTTACTAAGAACATGGTTGCATTGCTACATATCACCACAGGTTCATCTATCTGTAATTCTACTATTAATCCCTATTTTGCAAGGAATTGAAACACTGAACTAAGTTGAAGTCTTACACAATGCGGTACATTTTCAAAGTACTGCATGGATTTTTAACTGTATAACTCCTATAAAAGTCAGTAACCCACAACATTTCAAAAGTTTACCAAATTGAGTCTCAATCAGGGATTATATTTATATATAAAAATGGCCACGGTGTAGCTATGTTTAATTGAGAAAACAGAGTCTTTTCTCAGTGCAGATATATAATTCCCATTAAAACCAGTGGATGATTGTGGGAGAACACTCAATCACTGTCCTTACCAAGATTTCAGTTAATTGTATCATGTAAGATTGCCTATAATATGAAAATGCAAGTAACTCCACTACTGCAAATGGAGTCAAGTTCCCCTCAATAAAAAAAACTGTCATTATAACCAGGAGGCTAAGTATTCTCCAAGACACAGGATGTAAATACTGCAGCAAGGCTCCGTTTTCTGAAGCACAAATCCTGTGAATTCAGAGAAGTCTTATGGTCTGTGTTATGCAGGAGGTCAGACTAGAAAAAAATCACAACGGTCCTTTCTGGCCTTTTAAAAGCCACAAATTTATGAATTCTCCAGTTAGCTGAGACATCTGTAGCAGCATGAAATCAGTATAATATACTCAAGCACACAATTTATTTATATATTAAATCAAGCTACATGAATGTTACTAGTATCTGTGACAATAACAAAACAGAGAAGATGTATTGTCACTTCTGTTTTTTAAACAGCTGTTTGGGTGGTGAGTGGGAGGGAGCCAATGAGCTGGCAGTGTTTTGGTGCGGAGATGAATGCCAGAGGTTTAACACCTGCATTTAGTTGGGGGAAAGGGAAAAGTGGGGCAGTTGACAGGATACTGGGAACAGGATCACTCCCCTGCTTCAAAAAAAAAAAAAATCTAGTTTTTTTCCTTCTCATCCTCCCATTCCATTTTGGTTTGTTGGATCCATCCATCTAGCATTTATTTTCTGGCATTCATCATGGTACCTATGAACAATCCATTGGTCTATTAGTAATGAGTGTGTACAAGTGTGACGGGGTGCACTTGCCCTGCACTGGTACTGTGAGAGTTTACTCTACTCTCCAGGCTGAGGAGGCCACACCCCTGCGGCCCTACTGGGCATGCTCCAGCTGGAGACTAGGTATAAAAGGGAGCAGCTCAGCCCATTCAGGGCTGACTGTTGAAGAGAGAAAATGCATGCTGCAAGCTCCAGCCTATGAACTGCAGAAGCCCCAGATGGCAGAAGCCAGGGATGCTGAGACTCTGAAGGATGGCCAAGGAGTGGTGGAGATGTTGGGAGCTTCACTGACTAGGGAGCCCAGAATCCCTGGCATCAGGAACCAGGTAGGAAGTAGCTCAGGGAGAGAAGTTGTGGTGCTGAGTGAGGTCAGCATGTTTTGAACGGATTCCCTGCTGACTCAGTGGGGGGCATACTTGCCACTCACACGGCCCTGAGCTTGGACATGGTGGAGCAGGGAGGGCCCAGATCCCCCTACCTGGCTGTCAGCCACCCTGGGGTGGTGGCCCACTTTTTTGACTGTGGCCGCTAGGCCATGCGGCCCTGAGAGAGGGTGGCTTTACTGACTGTGGCCGCTAGGCTATACACCCTGGCTGAACCGGGAAGCCATATTCACTTGGACCATTAGGTCCCACACCCTGACTCTGGCCATTGGGCCATACAACCTTGAGAGAGTAGCCACACTGACTTTTACCACTAGGCCACACTACCCCAAGACAAGGGGTGATCGGAAGGACGTGACTGTGGGGAAATAATTACCCCACCCCAAGAGGGCATGAGGCGCACTTGCCTCGTGACAACATGGATAAACAGGTGCCCTGGGAACTTCATGTAGCTTCCCCTTCCATCGATATCTATCATTACATTGGAGGGGTGGAATGCCCCAACTTCCCAATATCTTGAGGATGATAGTGGTTTGGGACCCTTGAACTTTTCCCAGGGCCCATGATTCTCCAAGACATCCCTTACCATTGACAAATTCTGCCACTGTTATTGTGGAACGCATTGGCTCCTAAATATACCTTAAAATTCATTTCCTCCTAGATTGTATAATTTCTATTGAAGAAAAGAGATTTCTTTTGTTAACAAACTCTGAAATAATGACTTCAGTTAAATGTTTAAGATTATATCATAAGAAATATCTAGCTACAAGCCAGAAAGAAATGCACAGCCCAATACACTAATGCACATAATTGTGCTTTTCAGTGTTTCTTGACAAGATTATCATTACAAATGATTTTTTCCATTTGAGTTGACACAGGAAATTAAGTTTCTTAACATTCTGATCATAAGTTTAGCCTATAATAATATAGTTTCTCTGATAAGAAACCCTCATTAGCTGTAGGATAATACTCAGCAATTACACAGCCCATCCATGTGAAAATCAAAATGCTTCACAAACAATTACATGTCACAAAACCACTATAATGTAGGTACAATAAATATCAAGTAAACTATAAAACATCAGAAATTGTTTTCCATCCTCATGTCTCAAGTATGTTTTGCCAAGGGCCTTCAACCACTCAAGAGCGCATAGCAGCCATAATCTTACTTCAAATGTTTTTGTTTAAAAAATTAATGCTTGTGAAGATTAAACAATATAATTTTATTAAAGGGTCACCATCAACCTGAAATCTAGGTTGTTTTTTTTTTTAAAATAGTAGTTTCAGGCATTAGACCCAAAGTAATATCCCTTATCTGTGCCTGTGATTTTTTTTGAAAAAATAGGGATTGTAAAATGTTTTCCTCTATCCTGCTGATGTGTGAGACACCAACACAAAAGGGAAATTGATACAAAAAGTGCTGTCAGATGTTAAACATGCTGAAAGATGTCTTTTCCTCTAATCTTTCAGTTATAGCCAGATTAAACGTTTGTAACAGTCAGTAAAACATTTCTCAGAAAGATTTAAGTTGACAGTGTCCCTTTAAAACAAGGAATTTCCACGAACTTCTAGTAAAAGGACTGTTATCAAAATACCTAAAGACCTCAGTCTGTTCAATCTACACTTCTGAAGGTGCTGTTGACCAAAAAAAACCAAACACACATCTAGATTGCAACTACTGATAAAAGGGTTTTAACAGCTTTATTGCTGATGATGCATATTAGGAAATGTCCATTTAACAAACAATTCTCCCAAAACAGGCATTTTTTTAAGAAGTAGCATTATAACAAAGTAGAAAGAAAAGGAGTACTTGTGGCACCTTAGAGACTGTTAGTTTCTAAGGTGCCACAAGCACTCCTTTTCTTTTTGCGAATATAGACTAACATGGCTGCTACTCTGAAACAAACAAAGTAGCTTATCCAGTATCAGTCAGTTTTTCCTCCCCCTGGAACAGTCTGTAGCAATAAGCAAGGATGAGGTGGACATTGGTAGGATGTTGTGGCACTTCTGTCATATTCCTTCAGCCACCTCAGAAGTGCATCAGGAATAAGGTACCTAATTCACATCCTGAAGAGGTCTTAATTCCTATTCAATTACAGTCCACGATTTTAAATATAATTGTTCTAATAAGTTTAGGAAGCAGTTTTAAGAAGACATAAAACATCCTTCCACTATGAAAAGTATTTCTTAATAAAATGAAGCAAAGATAGGGGAAAATGTTATGTTCCAGACAGTAGAGAAAAGGTGAGCATATATTTTCTTCCAAGTCTCTCTCTCATTTTATAAAAGGATTATCTGAACTATTTGGTTCCATCCCCCACTTTCAGCAGCAGTTTGCTTGACCATCTGCCAATTTTAACTCACTTTCTTCTATAATGACGACATCTGGAATACTGAAAAGCTTCCATCCTAATTTTTACACTAGAAAAAGAATCGGAAGCAGCTGGAAGGGCCACATACTGCTTGGCATTTTGGGAAACAACAGTTTGGAACTCCCCCCCCCCCCCCCAACCCCTTTCTTTTCCTTACTCTTTCCTCTACTACCTTGCCTTTCCTCAGCCTCAAATTCACATAGTGCATTACCTTTGACAAATTATTTATATATACTTTATTGATTTAGCATCACCAATACCCTGAAGTCTCTTCCATATTTTTGACAATTAAAAAATCCCAAGTTTTGTGGGAAATTATTTTTCTTCCTGTTCTTTCAATTTTACTTTGTATGTTTCTGATTTTGTAGTGTGAATAATAATCAGAAGCTAATGAATATTACTTCAAGCCCCTAACTATGAGAAGTTGTGGGGAGTCCAAATAACCCTTCAAGAAAACCCTTTTTAGTCTGAAATGTAGGAAGGTTGCTGGAAACCAATTCTGCTCAATCTGGCCCACTTGACTTTGTCAGCAGGGGGAAGCAGCTCTGAAAAACTACTCTGTCCTTTGAATCTGCCAGACATGCAAAACTGCCTGGGATTAGATTCAAGTCTGCAAAAACATTTGACAGAATGTGCCCATGTTGTGCATTTTGTAGTTCTAGATAACTGCATATCAAAGGTTAATATAAATATATCATTTTAAAAAGTCTCATTTGAAATACAAGCCTCATACCTCCTGGATGAGATGCATACATTTTGAAGACTGAACTCCATATGCATTGTTGACAATATGAGGAATGTCATAATTAGAACAAATCACAGCCAGTTCTTCCAGTCTACAAACATAAAAGTGCAAATTAGGAAAACACTTATAACCAAACACGAAGTTATGGTATGAGTCAGGCCATTTAAGGACTAATTAATACAAGAAGATCAAAATGGGGGCAAGTGACAGAAAAGGAAACTTCTCCACAATTATATTAGGGTACACTGCAACTGGGAGTATGCCTCCAGGTGGGTAGACAGATACATGCTAGTTCTCCTTGAGCTAGTGTACTAAAAATACCAGTACAGACCTCCGAGCATGGGCAGTGGCACAGACTAGCTGCTCGAGTACAGGCCCACCTGACTTCCTCAGTCCTAACTCAGGTAGTTAACCTGCACTACAAAGTCCACACCGCTATTTTTAGCATACAAGCTCAAGGAGAACTAGCGAGTCTCTGTCCACCGAGGCTGGGAGGCATGCTCTCAGCTGAGAGTAGACATACCTTAGTATTACCATTGTGACCTGACAGTTAAATGGAAAGGTTTTTTTGGTAAACCAACATTCCTAGTTACCTATACCCACTCTCTAACCTTTTGGGTTGGGCTCAAATTTTTCATGCTTAACCTTGATTCCAAAGAACTTTTTAGTAAAAAGCACCCCCGCAAAAAACTATAATTAGAGTTGCAAAAATGGTTTTTTAAAGCATGTTTCAGCTTACTGTATTTTTTTCAATTTATAGCACTAAGCCCCACAAAGGGTTTGACTGAAGTTTCAAAATTTGTGTGGGGAATGAAATGTCTAAAGAGATTGCAAGTAGCACAGGATAGGGAACGTTTCACCTTAGGTTCCCAGTTCAATCTAACCCAGCTGGGTAGTGACTAAAGTTGTTACCCTCTGATAGCTATTGAGTGGCCTATGTTTAATGGGTTGGTAGTCTCAGTACAAACCTTAGTAATCATATTTCAAAAACCACCAGCACCTTTGACATCAATTGGTGCTCATCTGCATGCTAAGCAGAGACCAAGGAGTAACTTGGAATGGAAGTAACTCTGTCCTCTTGACAATACAAGTGGTTCCTCCAGAAGAGGAGAGAAATACTGACAGATCTAGGACGAGAATCATGCACTCCTGCTGCTCATACTATATGTACTCTGTGGGAAGTAGACTTTGGGCTCCCATTACTCCAAGCTGACACTTTTGCCACACCAAATTATTTTGTTTTAGACTTTGTCTGCACATAAATCTAAATTAAGAATGTGTGTTCTGGAACCTGCTGAGAGGTTTGTACAATTTTAAAGCAAATAGCATAGAAAGTCAAATGATGTTGCACATAAATTATTGTATCTTCAGATAACTACAATATAGTAACCAAAGTATGTTGCAGTTGCAGGGTCAGAGGGTGATGCTTAAGGCCCTTAATATAGGCAAGCATGTTCTTAAGACCATTGACTAAAGCGCTTTCCCAAATACGGGCCCCAAAAGAGGACAGCTATACTAGTCTGAATATGCTTGATCCCAGCTAAGTTTAAAGGCACATGAACTTGGTCCTAGTTAGTACCATATCTGGATGGTTGGTATTTCTCTGTTTGGATCTTCTCTACCATCTTCATTTTATTTTACTAGTTACCAATAAATCTTTCCTCTACACTAAGTTGAATCCTGTACTCTTCTTTTTCAAGCAACACTCATTTCAAGATTTGGGCCAATATCTTTGCTTTCATATAATTCAGATAACTTACTAACAAAAGAGATTTTCCTTAGGCTTAATATATAGGTAGCCCTATAATTGCTGACTGCAAAGATCCATGGATCAGCACCTTGCTGGAATTGATTTCTCACAATCCAGATAAACTTTCACTTACCATACAGGCTCAGAGCTGCAATGAGCTCCATGTGGGTGGACCTCTGGACCCCACTAAAGTCTATAAAGCTCTGCATAGATGCAGGAGTTCACAGGGCAGAGCTCACTGAACTTTCCGGGCCTCTTGTATTTTATAAGATCTTCGCTTTTAGTACATTGGAAAAGGGTTCCAATTCTGGCATCTCTCTAAAATCCCTTGATTTCCCCCCCACTTGTGTACATTTCTTATATTTATTTTTGAAAATATTCTCTTTGAAAAGTTAATTTTTCAATTGGATTTTGCACACATGCAAAATCCACAGTGCAAAGAACCAGGGGCCCACGCAGCTCCCACTAGCTTCCAATCTACTGGCTTCTGGCAAGAGGTAACTATTTTCAAACTGTGGGGCACAACTCAATAGAAGGCAAAAATAGTGGGTGGGGGGGTGGCATGTTACCCTGCAAGCCTCCTCCACCCATCACCTCTACGGGACACAAATATACTTGCCCCGGGCACTAAAATCCCTCGTTACGGCTCTGTTCTTTCCAATAAAGAGTGGTAATACTTAGAAAGGGGCACACAATGAATTTAGGCTTAAAAAGACCTTTTAAAAAAATGTTAAATTTCATGTAGCATGACATTTGCTTAAAATTTACATTTCAGCATACTTCTATGACAGAGCATTAAAACAAAAATGTCAGATATTTAAAAACATGCATATAAAAAGGTATCCTACAGGGATCTTGTATGGGATTCACCTTCCTTTTATGAATATGCATCTTGTGGTCTTTGATGGTTGGAAGTATCCTTTTAATAAAAAGCTCAAAACCCTCTATCTGTAGTGTGCTATAAAGCAGCCCCAACTTATATTTTATTTCAGAGTCACAGGGGACAGAACACTACCTTCTCAAAAAAGGAGAGGAGGCAGAGGAGTGAAAGAAATTTACGCTAGTTCAAAAACAGACTAGTTGATTTGGTGGTTTTGATTCAAGCTGGCCAATACATTTTCCAACTCATCTTCAGGTAATGTTCATTGTATTCTGACAGAATTATTCATCCCACTTTCCTTCCAACATGTATAAGTGTTTGGGTTTATTTTTAAATCAATAAAATGTGGGACACTTTTGACTAATGTAGGATAACAGAGTGAAATATTTTTCACTAGCCATTTTTCAACTGTAAGATAGTGTTTCATTTCTAACTTCACAGACATTCAGTTATGAATTTCTAGGTATCAAAGCAATTAAAGCAAATAGATACATATTGATGCAGTAAAGAAAATAACAGCAGTAAGATTATTTTGTTTTGGAATTATACCTAATTTAAGCAATTCTTATGCTGAAGTTAAGGTACTATATTTTCAAAACCTCAACAATATTATTAAAACCTATACTTTAAACAAATTGTACTGTGAACACAAATGAGCCCACAGATATACAACTGTACACTGGCAAAACCCAGTATTTGGGTTTATTATTATCTAATTGCATATGCAGACAGTATTTACGTTCACAAAAGCAGGTTTTCCAAGCAACTATCACTGGTCTCATTTTGAAAATTTGTCCCAACATACTGAGTGCATTTAGCCATAAGAATCCAATTTCTCGTTTCCAGAACAAGAGTTTTCAAAGATTTCATAGTGCGGACCACATCTTAATATAGTGTTTCAAGACCATATTATCTCCCATTCTTGACTGTGTGGTTCATCTCCCTTGTCAGTAATGATTGAATAACATCCCTGTGGCAATTACAGCAATAGCTTGCATGGAAATGTAATATTAGGAAAGAATGTAATGTATGTTAAGCTTATTTTAATGTGATTTAACAGCTGGAAACAGAGTGCCAGCATCACATGATCAGCTAGTAAGTGCTCAAACCAAGAAACCAGAGCAAAATTTTTTTTTTAAATATCCGTCCAGTACAGCTACATTTCAGGTTTGCAATGCTGCAGCTATACTAGTATATTTACACTGGTATTTGCACAGTGGGCAGACATCCCACCTTGGGCTATCAAAAGTGTCAAATGAGAAAAATTCATCTTTCAGAGTAACAGCCGTGTTAGTCTGTATTCGCAAAAAGAAAAGGAGTACTTGTGGCACCTTAGAGACTAACCAATTTATTTGAGCATGAGCTTTCGTGAGCCGATGAAGTGAGCTGTAGCTCACGAAAGCTCATGGTCAAATAAATTGGTTAGTCTCTAAGGTGCCAAAAATTCATCTGTGATCAGTGAACTAAAGAAGACAGCAGCATAGGGAACTGTAACCAAGAAAAATTTGACCTCTGACTTACCAGGGAAGCTTCTGTTGTATGATTCCACAGAAGACCATTTTTACCCACTTCTGTGGAATCACATGAAAAACTGCTGGCTACAATCACATTTATATCACCAAAAGCAATGAGATTATTATCCTCAGCCAGGTATGAAAAGAAAGATCTGCCCTGTTTCTTGTCCGTCCTTTTCTGCTTCTTCTGGTATGCTTTTTTGCAGAAGGCGCATTGTTTCCATCCTCCTGCTCCCTGAATTCCAGGAGGAAACTGGAAATAAACTTTCACTGTGCTATCTATTTTGCTTCATTAACTATTGGTAGTAGTAATTAAGCAATTTTAGAAAGATGAGCATAAATGTGAAGGTTATTTAAAACTTTGGTAATAGTTACCAAGCATTATGTGAGGATTATTTACCTGTCAGGTACCCTTGGAGCAAAGCAAGATGTAGTAGAATGAACACAGAGAACATTTTCAGCCCCAAGATCCTGGATTTTAGCCTCTACCGCCTTTACGTCCGTGCGCAGCTCATCACCTTCTAATACATTCTCTATCACCACTGGCTCAAAACCTAACCCAGCCAATAAAAATAAGAGTGTGTATTAAGCAGTAATTTTACAGGTCTATATCTTCAGGCTAGATGCATGCTTATTGGCTCTGATTTAATTTCAGATTTTTTTACTTCTACTCACTTATTCTGGTAAGAGACTACTTCAGAGATTCAGAATCATTTAGAACATAAAAGTACATAAATGACAACTTCACTGGTGCCCACTGGAGAGCTTGGGCGTTAGGTAAAAGCTAGTGCTCTTTGCAAGCTGAATCATATAGCAGCAACAGGTTCAAGGAAATCTCCCTTACTGAAGCAGATTAACCCCTTCACTCCCAATTCTGTTTTTAAATATTCAATATGAGGGAGGCAGGTGAAATCAGTCAAAAGGATTTCCCTTTCAAGATTCCAAGGTACATTAAAACAGTACTGCTGGGGAAAAAAATGCTAAAAATACTAATCAAACCGCTTCTAAAAATAAAATCAGTTTGTAGCAAATGCTATAGTTAAGACTGCAACTCAACTTTCATCAAAATCCTGTTTTTACTCATTCTCAACTCTCAAATATTCATCAGAGTTTTGAAATGTCCACATTTGGTCTCATTCTGGAAGTGAAATTTTTGTTTTTGGAAAATCTGAGCCAAATTTGCTAATCCATGTTTGAGTTAAGCAAACACTAAAGAAAAGAATCACATTAAAAAGTGTTAAGACTTCTTTAGATACAAAGACTCAATAAAACAGTTGAACTGCAAACTTTATATGTGGATATTCCTCACTGAAGATCATACCCAAGAGACAGTGCATTTGAAAAAAAAATGTAAACACATCTAAGTCATAAATGGCTAAACTGCTTTTGTGCACATATATTCATTTTTCAGTTAGGCCACTGCTTGAGGAACTATCCAATTGCACAAGTCCATAGTGCCACATGTATGTTTTTTCAGTACATGACAAAATGGCATCATTTAAAACCTATGGAGTTACTGAAAAGATCAATTATGCATGTTAACTATATGAACAGGCCTGCAAACTTAAGGCTCTATTAAAATTCAAAACACTTCTTTGAAAATAATTAGTTTGATACTTAAAATATGGTGTGATTTTGTAGAACCATATATTTTCCTCCACAGTGGATCGAGCAAGTCTAGAAGTTTCACTACTTTTAGCCTCCATACTTTGTGTACCAACTAAAACGTAAAGAAAAAGGCCCCAGTGTTCTGTTTTTTTTCCCACCATCAGTTTTAACTGAATGGCATGCAAACAGAAAAATTAAAGTAATTTAAACCATCATCCCCAAGCAAAATAAGGATTGAAAAGTAATTTCCTATTATGGAAGGAAGTCATGTGATCCATCTATATCTGGTCACCTCTTTCAGTAGTATTTGTACCCTTTTTTATTTATAAATTTAAATTTCATATATCCCAATTGCCAGTTTTAGCAGTCCATTTCACACACTAATTTCCATCTATGCAAAGAAGTTTGTACTGAACTCCCATCAAGCCTGCTCCTGTTCCCAGTGCAATCAATGGGAATTCCCCTATTGACTTCTAAGGCAGTAGGATTGAGTTGACCAAACTAAATTCTTCAATTTCCAATATAGCATGGCAGCATCATTGTGGGTCTTCCCTCCTTGGATTAACAATATGCCTCAGCTCTGTCATGGAGGAATGAAATTGTGAGTGAGCCCCTGTCCACAAGAACTTGGACTAGACAACCTGAAACCATCATACTGCAATGACTTAGTCACTGTTGACCTAGGCTGGTTTCAGACTGGTGAGGTAGGGGTAAGAGAGACTCTGCATCCCTAAACATTACCAATCCCTAAACATCCAATACTTGCCATTTTTTTTTCTGAGACACTTATTCATTCTTTAATTTGGTGGCATCCATCTTATTTAAATTCAGTCATGCCTCTTCTTACTCTCTTTTCCTAATATAAATCTATTTTTCTTAACCTCTCCTCTGTATATAAGCAGGTATTACACATCTTAAACCACATTCCATATAATTACCTATGTTCAGAGAATGCTATGGCTGCCTAGTTAAATACTCAACTGTTGTCCTCTGCTGAACTATTTCCAGTTCTTTGGTCTCTTGTAATATGGTGCCTGAAGTTGGGCACGACATTCTAGACACATTCCTCACTTTCTTTTTATGCAGAGTGATGATATCTTTCTCTACTCTTACATATCTCCATATTCTATTTGGATTTCTACAGTCGTCTATTTTATTGTTTCCAGACACCAAGTTTATGAATCCAGTACCACTATCAAAAGGATAGTTTTAAACATGTGTAGTTAGAATGCCACATTGCATGGTCAATCCCACCTTCTTCCTCTTACCTGCAGTGATCATAGATTTAAAGCAAGATTTCTGATCTATGCGTGGCCAAATAATATACTTTGCCTTTGGTCTCTTGTGCCGCAGTGTTAAGAAACACAGAGTTAGACTCATGCCAGTTGCCATAGGAACCACAAAGCAATTGGTCACTGTCCGGACACCTGTATATAAAAACAAACGAGGTAGTAGCATAGAATATTTGCTAACTGCCATATCACCCACATAAGAGAAATATTCGTTTCATACCTACCAGCCAGCTTTATAATGTCCAGAACTATTGAATTAGTAAGTTTGTTCAAAAGGCTAGAACCTGCAGCTTTAGGCTGGACAGCAGAAATATCTCCTGACCTCCCAATTCCATGGATTAGCCTGAACAAAAGAGGTTGAAAACTTACATTAAGAATTTTTCAAGCCCTAAAGCAATATTTCCTGTTTTCTGAAGAGCATTTGATTCGATAAACATTGATAAAATGTCTTATCCAATGCAACACCAAAATCAGATAATGAATTACCATACCTTATAATAGTAACATGAAATTGACTATTTCACTCACTTCTGTACAGTAAAGCCATCAAAAACAACATCTTGTTAAACAGAGTAACTGAGAAGGCCTATAATAGTGATTACTTTATCCACCAGGTAGATTTACCGGAAGAAAGGGCTGTGAAATCTGTGTCCCCCAGATCATGCTACAAATGCTAGCACACTTTGCACACACACTGCAGCCATGTTTTTTGAAGAATAAAAAGCAGTATTATACAATGCAAAGTACACCCATGGGATTTTACAGATGCTGTGCCTGATAAACGTTTCACAACAACAGAGCAATGAAGTGGTTTACATATGCTCTGTTAAAAATAAATTTTAAAACATTTATGTTAATATACACTGTTTCCCTCCACATTTTGTCTCTACCCACCCGGCATTCTACTACCTCCTCCTTCTCATTCTGTGCAGTCCCATCTTTCTTCACATTCTTGCATCTTTCTGATACCACTCAAATTCCATTTATAAATGTGGAATATTATTTAGCACCTTTCAGGCTTGAAGGATCATATAACTCTTTATGAACTACACACTTACAGAAATAACTTCACCCACTGGTGAAATGCAGCAGCTGCTTAAGAAAGCTCAGCAACAGTATACAACTACTAACAACTTGAATTCCATTTTTGTCTTGGGGACAGCGAGGACTCCAGCCATATACATCCATTCACTGAAGAGTTGATGGACTAGAGGGAACGCAGAACTTTTAGGAGGGTGGTTTTATATCTGAAGTTTTTTTTCCTCCCACTTTCAGTGTAACTACAGCAATAGTTAATTGGTTTGATAATTGAAAAATTTGCACATAATCCTTACTTTACAATTACAAAAATGCTTTGTTCCCCTGGTCCCCCTTTTCTCAGTCTACATGTTCCCTATCTCTCTTTCCTAGTCTGGGTCTCTAGATGCTGGGCTCACTCTGCCCATTCATTTTGATTTTAATATGGCTGAGAAGGAGAGTGTGCTCTCAAACCACTGCCTGACGCTTCCCCCCACTCTTTTACTTACCTAATTTGCAGGAGAATGGAGTGGGGATGGAATGGAGGACAACTCTTAGAAGAATTCCTTCTCTCTCCCACTACTGAAGCTAGTAGGTATAAGTGGTACATAAGGCGACAGAACTGTCCCAGCCCAGCAACAGTTAAGGAACATCCTCAGCTCTGTCACCTGCAATATGTTCAACTCCTAGTCTACCACATTCCTTTAGAAAAGCTAGGTAGCAGCACTTTTGGAAAGAGAGAGATGCTCCGAAGATGCCCCTGATCCCATAGCTCAATCAAGCCAGAGACTGACTACAGAATTAAGTAGATGGAATGGGAGAAAGAAGACAGAGGTGATGCCTCCAGGTCTGTCCTCCACTAGAACAATTCTTCCTCAAGAAGAATTGCAGGGGCCTTCAAAAACTGCTAGATCCCTATGACCACGCATTAAATTTAAAGAACTGCAATTTAGAACAAGAAGTGAAGGAAAATACCATATTTAGTTGCAATTGCAAAAGGAATTCAGTTCCCTGGTTTTCTCTGGAGGTCTCCCATTATAAAACTGGATGGGCTAAACTGAGCTTAACTTGTGAAAGTCGAATTTACTAGAATACTAGTCTCCGATATGTCCTTGTACCAACATGTCAGAGATGGGGATTTCAGTAAATTTCACTCTGCTGACATTACAGATGACATAACAATAGAATGCAGATAATTGGCATAGGACAGCAACCCAAAACAGCAGATCTAGATAAAGCAATATCTACAGAGTCTCTAAAATTCAATATCCAAAGCGCCCATCAAATCTCAGAAGACTCAGGACTTCAAGCTATTAGAAGCCCTCCCTGTCTCATAGCTCTACCTCCTCTGAATCAATTTTAATGGACTTGGTTTATGGTAATGTCAACTAATCTCTGTCATGAGTTAATAATTACAACAATCAATATTTGGATGCAAGGGATCTTTTCCAATAGGGATAATATTTAGAAGAAAGAAGAAGTTTTGAATAATATACAGATGGGTTAATGCAGTGCTCTATAAACGGAACTTTAAAGGACAAGTAACACAAGTTATTTTTTAACCAGAGAAGGCTCTTCTTTTCCTTCTTGCTTTGTCAGGTGTCCAATTCAAAATTTTGCATCTCTAACACTCACAATTTCCTTAAGAGCAAAGTTGTGAGAACACAGTGAGAGATTTTAACAAAAAAATCTTGTTACAAAACTTTTCAATGATTTGCTAATGGAAAATATGATATCTGAAACTGATGTAATTGTCTGTAATGAAATGTTGTTTTTCAAATGCTTTCAAACTCTGATAACAAGATATTAAAATAAGCAAAACAAACATAATAAAACAGTAGCATTAAAATTACTTGTCAGACTTACCTGTAATGCCGACGGGCAACTAATCCTGATGCCACTCTTCCTTCCCTCTCACCCACACCACAGTTGCTCAGAAAATTGTTGCTATCCATAATGGCAAGTTCATGGAGGAAGAGTTCGATGGTACTTTCATCCCATCCATTTTCAGGACACTTGCCCTTCAGAAGGAATTATAACTATAATAAAAATACTTCCTAGATGTGGATAATTAAAATTGATAAGATTTCTGTAAGTAGATTGTTTTGTTAATTTTGGTATCTTTAGTGCACTGAGCAGATTTAAAGCATTAAAGAAATCTTCTAGTCTCCCCTTCCTAGTACATGAAATTGGAACATTCAGTAATAAAAGCTACATAATAAATTGCTCCTATACTCGATGCAATTTGATATTAATGTTCCCAGAAAGAATACATTTAAGATGTATTTGTCTCCAAGTACAGCATTCTAGGATGCATAAACAGAAGCAGCAAAGAGCATTTAGGAAGTTTCTTGCTTGGATCCAGAGTGACCTAGACAAATTAGAGGACTGATCTAAAAGAAATCTGATGAGGTTCAACAAGGACAAGTGAAGAGTCCTGCACTCAAGACAGAAAAATCCCATGCACTCCTACAGGCTGGGGACCAACTGGCTAAGCAGTTCTGCAGAAAATGACCTGGGGATTACAGTGGATGAGAAGCTGGATATGAGTCAGTGTTCCCTTGTTGCCAAGAAGGCTAAAGGCATATTGGGCTGCATTAGTAGGAGCACTGCCAGCAGATTGAGGGAAGTGATTATTCCCCTCTATTCAGCACTGATGAGGCCACATCTGGAGTACTGCATCCAGTTTGGGGCCCCCATTACATAAAGGATGTGGACAAATTGCAGAGAGTCCAGTGGAGGGCAACAAAAATGATTAGGGGGCTGGGGCACATGATTTATGAAGAGAGGCTGAGGGAACTGGTCTTATTTAATCTGCAGAAATGAAGAGTGAGGTGGGATTTGACAGCAGCCTTCAACTACCTGAAGGGGGGTTCCAAAGAGGATGGAGCTAGGTTGTTCCTGGTTGTGTCAGATGACAGAACAAGGAGCAATTGTCTCAAGTTGCAGTGGTGGAGGTTTAGGTTGGATGTTAGGAAAAACTATTTCACTAGGAGGGTGAACCACTGGAATGGATTATCTAGGGAAGTGCTGAAATCTCCATCCTTAGAGGTTTTTAAGGCCCAACTTGACAAAGCCCTGGCTGGGATGATTTAGTTGGGGTTGGTTCTGCTTTGAGCAGAGGTTTGGACTAGATGACCTCCTGAGGTCTCTTCCAACTCTAATCTTCTATGATTCTGAGATTCACCTTATGAAGGATATACAGGATATTTGATATACTACATGCAGCTTTAGTCCATTAGGAGTATAACACTGAACAAGAGACATGGAGAAAATAAAGTAAAAGACAATTAGGATAACAGAAGAAAGAATACTAATAATCAAAGAAAGTTAAAAAGTAATTTCAGGTATTACACATTTTCCTACTTATTTTTTCCTCTTCTTTGTTACTGTTTTAAAAAAAAAAACCCCACTAAAGCAAGAGAAACTGACTACTTATGCAGGGGAAACAGTGAGACTGACCAAACAAAGACTGCGGCCAACTGTTCTTTGCATTCCTTTGTGTAGTATACTCACTTTTTGTAACGTGCTTAGATCAGGTTGCACCGCAACCCCTTTCTGACAACAAAAATTGCTACATGACCCCGGGAGCCCCACACACCAGCCAAGGCTGAAGACCAAGGGCTCTGGCTTTAGGTGGTGGGGCTTAGGCTTCGGCCATGGGCCCCAGTAAGTCTAACATCAGCCCTGGCAAAGGGGTCACGACCCACTTTGGGGTCGCGACTCACAGTTTGAGAACCCCTAGCTTAGATGAAAAGCACTCTGAAAACACAAAGCATTACTACACAGCAACAAATAGCTATGCAACACCTGTTCTCTTCTTCTTTCTGTATGTTTTTAAACACTAAAAAAAGAGACTATCTTCTGCTAGTCTCCTTCAATAATCTTAGTTATTTGTCACAACAACAGGAAAAAATGTAGACAAATGATAGTGTCCATTTAAATGGTCAGAAAATTAGGTCTGAACACACAAGAAGAGAGTAAGGGAGGCACCACAATATTCCACATTAATAACCGGGAGACTCACTTCTAATTACTAATTTCAGAATATTATAGAACAAAAATAAAAATCAAGGGTAATGAATCACAACACACACTTACTTCTGCGCTGCTGCTGGCAGGGCACTACCTTCAGAGCTGGGTGCCTGGCCAACAGCTGCCTAGGTCTGAAAGCAATTCAGAAGTAAGGGGGGCAATACCACAACCCACTCCTAAGATAACCTTGTGATCCACTGCAAGTCCCTTTTGGGAAGGGCCCCCAATTTTAGAAAAGTTGGTCTTCCCTGTGAAATCTGTATAATGCAGGGTAAAAGCACACAGAAGACCAGATTTAATGGTCCATGACATGTTTTTTGTGGCCATAATTTGGTAGGGCCCTACTTATACTGCTACACACACAGCAATCACTGCAAGATTCATTTGGGGCTGCAAAAGAGCAAGGCCAGGAAGAGAACACTACAGCAAAACATACTACTCTGACTCACTATTAAAATGTTCTTTCAAAGTCTCCCTGAGTCATATAGCTCCATGTTGAGCAATTCTTATAGCCCTTGTAGCTAGCTGTTCCTTTTCAGCAGACAGCCGCTTCAGTCCCGCCCTCCACCCCGGTGGAAACTTTCCCCACTTTCTTTTACAGCTATTATACAGGACACAGCAGGCATTCAGCTATTTTTCCCCCTAAGGCCCAAACTTATAAGTAAACAATGCCAGTGACACTTCAAACAACCAAAGGCACATTTAACTGTCATTCTGCACCTGCTGATCCTGTAGTTGAAGCGCTTCTTGATGCTGTCGAGGTGGTCAGTGAATAACTTCATGAGCCATGGGAGCAAGGCATAGGCTGGGTCACCCAGGATCACTATTGGCATTTCAACATTCCCAATGGTAATTGCTGGTTGGGAAAGAAAGTCCCTGCACCTTTCTGAACAATCCTGTGTTCTTAAAGATGTGCGTGTCATGCACCTTCTCTGACCAGCCCACACTGATGTCAGTAAAGCATCCCCAGTGATGTAGCCCTCTGTCAATGTACTGTGGCAAGGTGGTCTGGTGCTAAAATAGGAATATGCATGCCATCTATCGCCTCACCACAGTTCAGTGGCCCCACTGCTCCAAAAGCATCCATCATGTTCTGCACATTACCGAGAGTCAGTCATGCATACCAAGAGATGATTAATGGCCCTGCACACTTGCTTGACAACAGCCTGTGGTGGATTTCCCAACTCCAAATTCATTTCTGACTACCTGGTAGCAATCTGGCATTGCAAATTTCCACAGTGCAATCGTCATTCACTTCTCAACTGTCAGTGCAGCTCTCATTTTGGGGTCCCTGCACTGGAAGGCTAGAGAGAGCTCTGCACACAGATCCAGGAACGTGGCCTTGCGCATCTAAAAGTTCTGCAGCCCCTGCTCTTCATGCCATACCTCCATAACGATGCGATCCTACCAGTCAATGCTTGTTTCTCAGGCCCAGAACCAACACTCCACCATCTCCAACTGCTCCATGAATGCCACCCGCAATCCTGAATTGGTTCTTACTATGTCCCACAGCAATCTAGCCTCCAAGGAATCATCACATTCCCTGTGGCTCCTCTGACAGCTCTGTAAATACTGCAGGATCACATGCCCTGTGCTTGCCATGCTCATGACAAAAGTACAGAGCTGTGCAGACTCCATGCTTCTGTCATAGATGGCGGACAGTGAGGAGGGACACATGGGTTTGTGGAATTTTGAAAAGAAGGCATGAAAATTATGGGATGCAGATGAAATTATGGAATGGAGAACAATGCATTATGGGAAGTTGACCCCATGCTCCTAGTCACCCCTGCGTGACTTGTTTTGGTCCTATCAGGCATTGCAAGAACTTCCCAAAAGATCCTGCACTGGATGGTGGCGAGTTGCACAGTGGGATATTTACCCATAGTACATTGCACTCTATATCAATACAAGAGCTCCTGATGAGAATACACACTGCTGACACAAGGAGCCAAGCATGCGCACACAAGCAATGTAATAACTTCAGTGGCTTTATACCGTTGTAACTTATGTTGACATAATTTCGTAGTATAGACATGGCCTAAGTGCTAAAAGCAGAGATTTTATGGTTACAGTCTACCAAATGTAAACTGACAAAGTGCTACTTTCCTCAGGGATTGTCAGTCCCTGATTAACTCCATCCAGAAAAGGATGCCTTATTTCTTAACCCAGGTCTGTAAACAAGCCCTTTAATCTCCAGACAGAGTACACCTGTGAGGCTCAAAACTTTACCAAGCAGCACAAGAATTAAATTAAAGGACTCTGGTCAGTTTCACAATTGACACTCAGAAACCTATGGGCAACACTGAAACCATCACAAACCATGTTAGTGTCAGGCTGCTGCTTGTGAAAGCCATAAGCAGCAAGAAGGTCACAGGAGTTATTCACAATAGAGTAATGAGAAGGGACTTGAGAAACATTACTCCTACTGCATTTTTAGGTCTATCTCAGGCCCCCTTCTCAATGGCAGCAAGAAAGCTCAGAAGTGGGAGAAGGGTAGAGTTTTGAAGACCCAACCCTTACAGCCACTGTGAGCGTTCTGAAAGGGTGGAGAGAAAGCTCCTTCTCACTTCCAAGAGTTAGGGGGTAGGGCATTTCAAATTTATCAGACCCATTCTAAGAAGCGGTTAACCTGAAATAGGAGCCCTCAAGTAGGACCTAGGAACAACAAACCAGTAAAAGTCTGAGCAGCAGATAGAGGCTATGCTTTTCACAGGGCACTGGCTCTAGACCCTGCCTGTTGCCCCTCATTTGTCTTTTGTACCTCTTGCTTGTAAGCATCTAATACTTTTTTTCAAGTGGTCACAGTAGAGTTTGCAAAAATAAAAGTAAATCTACACTAGAAACGCTAAAGTGGAACAGCTGCAAACTGTAGTGGAGAGACTTAGGTCACATCTACACTACAAAATTACGTCAACCTGTTATTAAATCTTTTGTGCATGTGCCCATGTGCTTCTTGTGTTGGTAGTGCGTGTCCTCACCAGAAGCA